AGGTGTAAAGGCTCAAATGGTCTCTGGTTTCGCCTCTGGAAAATTTAAGGACGATGACGATGATGATGAGGGTACGGAAGCTTAGGGGGAGAGATATATATGGGTGATGAATCTTATTAAACAATGTGTGCTATGGAAGATGTCGTAGAGTTGAAGCTCACTTGTTTTATTTATTTTATTTCATCCCTATTTTTTCACATTTTATATAAGTTGTGTATATTTTTATAATAATAATAAAAAGTTATTTGTTCTGTTCTATTCTTTTAGGAAAATAAATAAATTGAGAAAATTTTGTGGCACTCTTGCAATTTTATTAGAGTAATTATTACTAGAGTATGGTCATGTAATAAATCATTTGCACATTATCATATAAATAAATATTTATAAAAAAAAGAATATTTATTAATACTATATTTTAAAATATCAATTTATCATTCACTTATATTATAACACGTAAATCAATTATATTATGTAATCATATAATCGTATTTTGGTGCTGTACAATAATTTCTCATATTATTGTTGAATTCAAAATGTTGGGAGTATTACCTATATGTGTAAAATAAAATACGTTCATAATTAAATCCTCAAATAATATAAAGTTGTTTCCAGATAAGAATTTTTTTCTAAAACACCATTATTTTATTTTATTTCGTAAAACAATAATATATTAAAATGTTAATAATTAAAAAATAAAGAGGGAATTGTGTCTTATATCGAACACAAAATTGCTATAAATATTAAAAAAATTTGTTTATTAAAAAAAAAACCTTAGTATGCAATTAGCATGGAACATATTTAGCAAGAAAATAATGTACACACTTATATTTATTTATTTTCTTCATAAGAATTGCACTTCTTTATTATTAACAGGCCTCTTAAGTATGCAATTAGCATGGAAATAGATATTTGGAATCATTATCTCCTGTTCCACCAAAAAAAATAAAATATTATCACCCCAAAATCTCGGAAAGATTCTTTACCCAATTTTCCTTCCTTAATTAGAATTCTATTTCTATCGCTGGCAGTTAGGATATAGTGTGCACAAGGTGCATGGTGGCTGATGTAGGCTCGAGCCTGATGGCTCGCGCGGGACCCCCTGGTGGAATATGATTGGGATGGATTTGGACCGTCGGATTCAATCACACCGCTTTATGAGAGCCTTTAGATGGGCCCTAAGTCCAATGCTCGATCATAAAAGAATAGAAATTGTATGTTTTGTGCACAAAGAAAATCACACATTGTTTAATCCTCGGCATATCTGAACCTGGTGATGGTTGTGATTGATCAAACATGGAAAACTAGGCAACTTTAATCATTATATTGGGCCATTGGTCAATTAAGGAACCGAATCTTAGGTACCACCATTTGCCAAATTTGCCGCTATGTAAATTATGTACTAGGTCAGAAGCCAAGGAGTAATACCAAGCATGGCCTGACATGAAAAGGCCAATGCCTTGTTTGCTACTGCCCAAAGGCAACAAACCCAACATTTTACCAAGAAATGACACCATAATTGTAATTTGTACTTGAAAGTTGGAAAGAAGTTTTGGTAGGTACGAACTGGCTATGAAGTGCACATCGGGCAATTATGGGTTCTGAACGACACTAACGAGTGGTAAAACAATCTAATAAAAGGATGACGTGTGCTATTTACACCGGAAACATTAGGTACATAAGCATACAAGACATGGGAGGCAAAGAAGTTTGCTAGTCAACTTTTCTATGCTGCTCTCTACTCAAAAGAAAAAAGAAATGATCAACAGGTATCTTCCACTAGGTTAACCACGTATGGGTGAAGAAAGAGCAAAGATTGGTGCAGCGATAGAAAAAGCCTAAAGTCGATTGACGTGAAATTTGGGCGCGCAAAAGCAACAATTCGACGTGGAATTTGGCCAGCACACGGCTAAAGGGCAAACGACACTCTCCTCCAGAGACTCAGTCTTTTTGCTTTCTACTTTCTATCTGGATTCTTCTTCCCTTGTCGTACAAATTCCATCGAACAATTAACTTAATATTGACTTTAAAGTCTCAACTCAAATTCTTTTGAGGTTTATTATTCAATCAATAACATAGATAATTATGTCAGGCATTTATCAACTCGAATATTGACCCATCTTAATCATTTCAAATCAAAAGCAGGTTAAATTTTTGGGAAAATGATCAGTTAAATCTATAACCTGTCGTTCCAATTCCGCATCAAAAGGACTAAAATAATAATATAACATAGAAATTTGAAGGGCATGAATTTCCTAACCAGTTTGATTAACACATGTTACAGATGAGAAGAATGAAGGATCCTCATGAGGTTTACAATACTATCATGAGAGAGACATTCAACTCGAAGAAACTCCTAACTTACACACCGGAAAATACTGCTGGCCACAGAGCTCTAATACTCACACATTATGTCATTGACTAGAGAAATAATTTAATATGTTCCGGGCACCGAATATGATCTCCTTAAATAGGCAGCTAAATTATTGCATCGACTGAAGACGACTGGATCTACTCTGTCCCTTGCATAGGAACCATCATATGTTGGCTCTGCAATAACAAATCATTCATTAGACCATGTTGAGTACAAGAACCAGAAAACCAGCATACTCACCACTAGCAAAAACATTTCAATAGTTTCATAAACAGCACCTTCCAAAACCGAAAAATAAATAAAACTGTAGAACAAGCCAAACATACTAATATAATGACACTCCTATTCATCAGTTGCTTTGCCACTCCCACATCTCATGCTCTCCCTATCGAGAAGTTTTAACATTGTACAGTAGTCTCAACCATTGGAAAGCTAAGTTGAAAACACAGTGCCTTGGGTTGCTCATATAGATCCACCAACATTGCATGCTATAATCCACCAACATTGATATAACCCACAAAGCTATAATGCTATAATCTTACCAACATTGTATGCTATAAAGAATAATATTATTGACCCAATAACCGCAACTACAACTATAAAGCAACAAGCAAAAACTTTGGAGAAAAGCAAACTTGGAACTTTCCAAAAGAGATTCCAAGATCCAAAAGAGATTCCAAGTGGGGCAAAAATTTACGTTGCTGCTTCAAGGCATGCAAACGTTAAACTATGGAACAAGTACAAGAAACAAGAGCACCCACACGAAAACCATATATGTTTAACGGTTTAGTGCACCCTACTACTGTGCAGCTTTCACTTTATTCTGCAAAGTAAAAGTCATCGACTTTCCACAGACAAATGATCATTGAGCATATCATCACAATTCTACAAATGACATGCACAACTATTACATATAAAATTGAAAAGCACAACTTTTCAAACATTAGGCACTAATGACCACAAAATTTTAACTTAAACCAAAGCGAACAAAACCAACCAACGCACGCCAATAATAAGATAAATCCTGCTGTGAAAACAAATTGTGTCAATGATTCTGTCTGAAGGGCCATCATTTGAATATACAGAAATCATGCTCAAAATATCAAAGGAAAATGGTATAGTTTATACATGGATGGAAATGATTATAACTTATAAGTCATACGGAAATGTGTTGGCAATAAAGGAATCCGGTTAATATTATAACACTGATAAGTACTGCACAAACATGATGAAGAGAGATAATAATATTTTAAAACAGATAGGTATAGAGAAACAAAGAGAAAGAAATTACTTGAGAATTTGAGTAATTCCCTCCTTGGGAGAAAGAACCTTGGCGAGAAATCTGCCAAATGAAAATAAGACAAATTAAAACCCGAGAACAAAACACCAAAAAAGAACCTTGCTTCACTAATAATACAAAATCATACTCAACCTGAGCATTTGAACTTGGCTGAGCATCTTTCTTAGAAGATGAATCTCCACCCTTCCCTGAACCCTTGGTGTCACCCTATTAGACGTCACAAGCCGAAACCCAAAAGTAAGTGATAAGGTTAAATAAAAACAAATTGCAGAAAGTAAAATAAAAACAAATTGCAGAAAGTAAAATAAAAACCCGCGCATAAATAGAAAACAATTGTCACTGACCTCCATCTGCAGTGTCCGAATAGACCCAGAAGACAACAGAAAAGAAACAGTGTATTAGTCAAAACCCATCAAAAATCTTGTCATTGAATAGTTAAACAAACCCGAGCCTGCAACACTATTGAGATGAGCAAACACTCATTTCTCAACAAAATCTGAACTTCGGAGCTTAATTGGATACAATAACTCGAAATTAGAGACCAAATTAAGAAAAGGCGAAACCAAATAGCAAAAATGCGTTACCTCTCTGTATCTAGTGAGGTAAACCTTAAGGGGGTCGATATAATCTTCAAAGCCCAAAGTAGCCATTGCCCAGAGCAAATCATCGCCATTAATTGTCTTCCTCTTCTCTCTCTGGCACTTGTCACTCGCCCTACACACAATTCCACCCCGACATCAAAACAAAAAAGGATAAATACAATTTCCAAACATAATCATGAATCATGAACAGAGTTACGAAACGGCGTCGTACTCGCTAGTGATGAAGCTGATGAATTCAG